ATAAGACGCCCTTCAATTTTTAGGGTAAGGATTTTAGAAAAAAGTATCGTCTTATAGTCGGAAAAATACAGTATCTCTAGTTAAGACATGCTTAGGATTATCAGGAAATAATGAAAATTACTGAGTTTTTCTGACATTTAGAATATAGTTAATGGAATTCATGAGAGTTAACATAACCAACTGCAGCCAATTAGGAAGTCTAATAAAGCACAATGTTCACAGAGTCACAAAATTTTGAGCATTATATCCATGAGACTCATCAACAGTTATGCTATCTTTTGGGATTTTTGTAGAGGCATTTAGATGGCCAAAGTCAAGACTAGGTAAACTGTGATCTGCTCCAACAAAGCCCAAGTAACTATACAAGATCTGTTTAATTCAAATATAAGACTACCTAAAAATCATGGTTTCGCTACACAATAGTGTACTGATGCAGATGTGTCTGTAGTCATACTTTTATCCCAGCATAATTTGGGCACAGTTTTAGGCCATAATCAGGGGGGAAAAAGAAACTGAAACTTCCAATATGGTTTGAATTAATGAAGCTCAATCCTTCTGCTGTAAACTATATAGATCTCATAAGTTAAGACTGTTGGCCACAGCTGAAAATTGTCGTTCATCTTCTCTGCTTGGGGAATTTCATCAATGTTATAAAACAGACATATTAAAGGGAATCCCATTAATGTCATAAAACAGACATATTAAAAATAACAATTATTATTGAAAGTCTTAGAATCTGGAAGTTAATTTGAATTTAAATTCAAATCTCATTAGAAGTATTTGTGACATAGAAATCCTTTAAAATCTATTTTCAGCAAGTCATCAAAAATTTACCACAAATGGCCCTGTACCCCACTAAAATTACACTAATACATTGTAATCTTTCTAGATTGTGTTGGCAGGATCATAAGCAAATTGGAATCTATTATTAACCCTTGAGTTGAAAGTATATTAAGAAATTGAAAAACCTTTCATGGTGCATCTTTCTGTTCATGTACTGCTTATATTTCCAAAAGCATATAAATAGATGCATCATAAGAAACTATGATAGCTGTCAGTTTTGTTATCATAAATTATGGTATTTGAACACGGAGAAACTGCTCTAGTTGAAAAAGTAACAAAGAACATTGGAAAACCCTTCAGTGAATAATATATTCAAACCTGGCAATTGT